TGTTAAGTGCTGGCTTCCATTTGTCCTTTGCCAATCACACACCAATGTCAGTTAACGTCCATTGTTTTGCCAGCATCTTTGTTGTCTTATTATTTTTGTTGTTCTTACATGTACATATATATGATCTATGCCTCGTACCATTCATTCACCTGATGAAGGCGTAAGGACATACTCTGAAATGTGTGGTCCTCATCATAAACAAGAAGCTGACATCCACAAAAACTCTCTTCCTTAGGAGGTGAGGTGAGGTGAGGTGAGGTGAGGTGAGGTGAGGTGAGGTGAGGTGAGGTGAGGTGAAATTGGGTTTTACGTCGTGCTTGAGATTATTTCGCTCATATGACGACGTGCATGCATGTGTATGTGTATGTGCGGCTGCTTGTACTAGCCCAGACTTAAGCTGGTTTTATAGTGCTAGCCCACTGAGATACCAAACCGCTGAGAAGCATGAATACCCCACCCAGACACATTATACTGACTCCGAGCAGACCAGTCCTTGTTGTACCCATTAATGCCGAGAGCCAGGCAGGGACCAACAAGTACCATATTTTAACGTCTTTTGGTATGACGCGGTCGGGGATCGAACCCGCGACCTTCCGCTCTCCGGGCAGACGCTCTAACCACTGCACCACGGAGGCGGTCTCTTCCTTAGGAAGAATACGGTAAACACATCTCCCTTCTTTGCCACCAAGGCCAAGGATGGTATCGCCTTCACAAAGACAGGCAACAAACAGAGTTCTGCACTGCCGCTTGCATACAATACAGATTTCCATACAGGTGTTTTGAACAATACTCTCCGCCTACACAGAGGAACATACTACTACATCAACACACCACGGTCATGCCACATTAACACCTTTTATTTACAATGGCATTCAAAATTATTTAGGTAACTATTTTTTTTTAAAATCGGATGGCATTGAGGTGATTATTAATTATGAGATGCTAACTTTTCTTCTTCATGGTCCCCAAACAGCTGCCATGGTAATTTGTTTCTGGTCCAGAATTACTCCTGCAATGGGTTTTCTTTTCATACGAGACACAAAACATGGAACAAGAACAGATGCCGGTCCAGAGGATGGCCATACATCATGGCTAATCTTCACAGTCACGCTAAACTGACTTTCTAAACAATATAACTCACTCCGCCCCCACTCTTGTGTCTGTTCATTAGACCAATACATTAATCGGTAACCATTTCATCCACCAGGATCAATGTAACACGAATGGTTGAATTAATTGACATAACTTTATAAAGAGTATTTAAAAAACAACATGTACCATCATCATGATGAGCCTATTTAACATCATAAAGATTTATCAATTCCAGTTTGAAAAAAAAAAATCTTCTGTCCTAATCATGTAAATTTTAAGTTGAAATTTGAGGATAAGTACACAAAACAGATGCCATGTGAAGTCAATACAATGATGTCAAGATGAATCATATTCGTGTTTTAAAAAATCAAAATCTTAAAAGTGAAAAACATGCATCAAAAATCAAACCGAGCAGGTCAAAAAGTGCAAATGATGTAACATAAAATGTTTAACTCTTCACAATCACTCTGAAACGAATCACAATGGCCTTGTGAGCTTAAACCTGTCATACTATGCAAAGTAACATGAAAGCCAATTTCACACACTTGCTCCTAATATAAGTAGTTCATAAACTTGCAAAACCTGTCCTTAGTAGAAGGTGAGGTGAGGTGAAACTGGGTTTTACGTCGTGCTTGAGAATATTTCGCTCATATGACGATGTGCATGTGTATGTGCGGCTGCTTGTACTAGCCCAGACTGAAGCTGGTTTTATAGTGCTAGCCTACTGAGATACCATACCGCAGTGAAGCATGAATACCCGACTCAGACACATTATACTGACTCCGAGCCGACCAGACCTTGTTGTACCCATTAATGCCGAGCGCTAAGCAGAGACCAAGAAGTACCATATTTTATCGTCTTTTGGTATGACGCGGTCGGGGAGAAGACTAAGGATATGATGGGGCCACTTGTGTTGGGAATCGGAAACCCTACATATTATCGGAGGACTTGTAGTGAACGATAATTGAATATAATCGAAATACATACATTTTTAATGTAATCACCAATCTTCAGGGTTTTTCCCCAGGTTTTTTTTCTAATTAATGTTTTTTATAACTAAATATACTGTCATGCAATAGATGCAAAATTTATTCATGGAATGGTTACAGTAATATTTACCATAGTGATGAATACGAAACCATGAATACAACGCGCATGTTTGTTCGTGAATATTCGTCAAATTTAATGGTTAGTTTACTTCATGCAAGTGGATTATACTAAAATAACAAAATTCCGATTAATCGAAAATGTTTTTTACAATCAATAATTACTTTTAATCCTTCTTTTGGCCGTTTTTTTTCGATTATTTTCGATCATCGGAACACAGCACGATATTTATCCCGATAACAACACGATTCATATCCCAATACAGTACTTTTCTTTATAAATTTATCAGTTCAAAATCTCTCCCTTTTTGCAGGTGAATCACGGCCCTGAATCACTTATTTCTAAATTTAAGGAAGCAAAGATGGAAAAATGTATTGGAGAAACATATAATCTTGGGGCAACTGTGCCATTCTGCCATTTATGGTCAACCAGGAAAAATTACAGAATCTGCACAGGTTCTTGATACGTTTCTGTTACTTTTCATATGGTGTTACAACAATATAATATGCAATGTAATTAATCATATGTATTTCTATACAGGAGTTGTAAGTTGATGGTATTGTTGTACATATCGTGCAACAATATTGCCGGATCATTACACCAATACTAATTTTTTCTTACGCATTCCTTCAAATACTGCTTTCCTACTGACTAATTCCAATATTGGGATTTTCAACTTGAGCATAAATCATGTCAATACATAAATAGTATTATCAATATCAGTGTTGGAACTTGTATCATGGATGCCTCATGGTAACCATGGTAACAAGCAGCATTGAGCATAATTGAAACAAAACATTGATCAAATTCTTCTCTCTAAAGAAAGAGAACAACTCAGAATTCACTTATTCAGAAAACTGTTGCTTTAACACTTTACCATTTGATCAGGACTCTTCCAAATTAGCAACTGCGTTATGTTATTTCAACTGCAAATTTATCGTTCAATATTTTGTTTCACAACAGCAAGTGTAACAGAGCAAAGTACGAGTACAAAGTAATGCTTGAGCCACCTGCCTATGACAGCAAAAAGGTGCGTATGTCATGTGAGTAGTGACCAAAGCTACGCTGTGATTGGCTGTAGAAGCAAGGGCCTCAACTCCTGCAAAGAAAAATGGCATCAATTCTCGCCCCTGAACTAATGTGGAGCATACTGGACAAAATAAGACTGACTGAGTGAGTTTGGTTTTACGCCGCTTTTAGCAATATTCCAGCAACATCACGGCGAGAGACACCAGAAATGGGCTTCACACATTGTACCCATGTGGGGATTCGAACCCGGGTCTTCGGCGTGATGAGCCAACGCTTTAACCACAAGGCTACCCCACCGCCCCCTGGACAAAATAAGAAAAATGCATCGCTTTTATTAATGATATCTGCTAAAGATTAACCAGTTTCATACTTCTCATACATGACTTAAAAATATATTTGAATACTGCAAAAGTTAAATTTAAATTAAAAAACCTAATAATAAATATTCAGGGTTTCAAATTAGCACATTTCCCAGGACAGTGACTGTTGTCCTATATGTCCTGAAGATATATTTAAAAATTTCAGTGATGCCAAGACACCTACTTTAATTTTCTAAATTCAAGAAAATACCCCTTGAATATTTGTCTCCAGCAAAAACCACTGATATCAGCCAGTTTGAGAAGCCATGACAGTGATACATGCATGTGATGAAAAGTGAGTGAGTGAGTGAGTTTTGTTTTATGCCGCTTTTAACAACATTCCAGCAATATCACGGAAGGGGACACAAGAAATGGGCTTCACACATTGTGCCCATGAGGGGAATCGAACCCAGATCTTAGGCATGACAGGTGAACACTTTAACCACTTGGCTACCCAACCACCCATGTGAAGAAAAGGGCAAACTTATTGATGCCTTGTACTCAAACAGCTAAAGGTTTGCATTGTCTGAAGATTCCAAGAAAGACTTGACGATGAGTAAATGAATGTTCATACACATTAGCCAAGAAGCAAAATCCAAACTATACTACACAAACAAAGTAGAGGTACACTGAATTTATCCATAAGACTATAGTTAATCAGTCAGGCTATAACAGATTATCAGCCGTTGAGTCGAAATTATCCCAACCTGAAGATCAGCAGTGGTTGAAAGCAGAAGCAACTACAAGGGCTCCAGATAATTTTTCAACATCAGGAGTACGTATGTACTCCTTAGTTTTTCAATACATGAGTACTGGAAAACCTTCATAGTACATTTAGAGTACTGAATGGAATATAATGGAGTACCAGTAATCTTGTGTTTCGTTTCATATATGCACCACAACATTGCTACTCTTGTGTAAACAGGTCAATAAACAATAAAACAATACTTTTTCAGATAAATATGTCTGTAAATGATTCTAAGACCGTACACCATTGCTGTGGTGCGTATTTGCTACGTTTTCTAAATTATTTCCTACTGTATCGTGCATATTTTGTATCCGTACATACGCCATACGGCCCTTATCTGGAGCCCAGAACTACTTAACATTGTTGTGTTGCAAACACAAAGCCAGCCAGGTTAATCATTTTTACTACTGCAACTCTGCACAGCAGGCAGCAGGGCAACCAGTCTGCAACCCTACCCCAGAGTCTACCCCATGAGTGAGTGAGTTATTATTTAACGTCACATCAGCAATATTTCAGCCATATCGTGACGAGTTTACCCTATGAGAACTGTAGGCTTCAGGTGCTCACAAAGGATCATAGTAATAAGACTATTGTATGTTGTTAGGAATGTTGTATTTCACAAACGCAATGCAGATCAGGGTATGGCAGTCAGGTAGGAAACTTACGTCGGTGCCGATGAGAGTGGGTCTCAAGTAGAGGCTGCAGTCTTTGGAATAGGGCACCCACTCGCTGTCGATACTGACCAGCTTGCTAATACACTTGATCAGCTCAACACTGTCAAAAGTCTGGACAAACAAAACAACACGATGAAGTCAACACATCATTTTACAAATTCTACATCACAATTATATTTGGCACCACGTTTGGGGTTTTTCAGAATGCAACAAATAGGGATTATACTGATGATGAAGAAATGTCCTAATTTAAGGATAGCAATTATTTATCATCAAAGATATCACACCCTATGAGAGAGTAAGGTTTTACTTTCATGGCGCGTGGTCCTGTGCTCAAAGCTCAGGTTCACAAATCGGTGAAGTTAAGCAGCGTCGAGCTCGGAGAGTCCTTGGATGGGTGACCGTGTTTGGCAGCTTGACTCCTGAGAGTTTCTAGGACTTGAGTCCTGCCCCACAACGAAGCACATGTGACACATGTGGTCTCACCTTAGGCCAGTGAGTTTGTTCAAAATTGTCTCTGTTCACCCAGCAGGAAAATGGGTACCCGGTGGAAATAGTCATATGACTATAACCTTCTAGCACCTAACAAGCAGCTTGGGTTATCTGGGGTAATAATGTGCTGTGCCTTGATTGTTAGCGCTATGAGCATACCTAGTGTGGAGTTTGGCGCTATATAAATGGACACATTATTAATACTTTTAGCAATATTCTAGCAATATCACTTGGGGGGACAGCAGAAATGGGCTTCTCACATTGTGGGCATTCAAATCCCAAGCCTCCCGTGATCTTTAGTTGGTAGTTTGCTTGTTTAGTTTAGTTTTAAGCCGCATTCAGCAATATTCCAGCTATATGACGGCGGTTGGTAAATAATGGAGTCTGGACCAGACAATCCAGTCATCAACATCATGAGCATCGATCTACGCAATTGGGATATGATGACATGTGTCAACCAAGTCAATGATCTCGTTAGTCGCCTCTTACGACAAGTATGGGATGCTGAAGATCAATTCTAACCCGGATTTTCACAGGTATCCCCCTTGATCTTTAAGCATTCTCTTGCAACAAGCATCAAGTAAATGATCTTCTTACTCACAGGCAGAGCTGATCTTTCTGCAGATCTGTTCATTCTCTTCATGTTTTCGATGGGCCGGAAGATCCGGATCTTGTTGTCCACACACCTGAAGGCCTTTATCCCTTCGAACAGCTGCAAACAGAACAGGTATTTCTGAACAGGTATATGTGAACAGAATGTGTGAACAGGTATAAATTTGTGAACAGAATGTGTGAACAGTAGTGTTACGATTCACTCACACAATCAGAGAATCAAATTGTATCTCCTTCATGAATTCAATTGGTTATTCATGATCATAAGAATCGAATAGTTACAAGTTTTTATTAAAAAGAGTGGGTTTTTTCCCTTGTTTATCAAAGTGAGATATTCAAAATGGAATATATTCAAGCCAGGCAGGATTATAGTCAACATTCTTACATATTTTATGGCATATTAATTAGGGCTGTAACGACGCATCGAACTATCGAAGCATTGCAATTATTGAGTATCTGATAGCAATTGATCGATGGTAGAAACGAGAAACTATCAATGCATCGATAGTATGTGTGACTATCGATAGTTTAGTAACTGACTTCAGATGATAAATGTGCAGCACAAATTACAGGAAGTACCAGAGTTATCTGCCCCTGTTACCTCTTGATTGTTTACTTTATCTGGGTTTCAAGTTTCTTGTCAGTTATCAAGAGACTGAAACTACTTTAACTTGTTTTTATTTCAAATAAACTATACGCTCATTTGAGAATGACTTCAAAACAGACAATTAAAGAGAAAAAAAATATTTAGCAATAGTATTGCAATAGTTGGTCGCAATAGACTATCACTATCACAATAGTTGTTTCACCCTCAATTGTCACCCCTAATATTAACACTGTCAACACGATGGTCGAAATATATAGAAAAAAATCTTTATTGCTATTATTTGAATATAGTGAATAATTTTATTATATTTTACATAATATTATTTATTGATCATTTTTCCCTTCCAACCCTTACTGCAATGCAAACACTATGTATGAGGCAAGTCTAGATTTTCCTCAGGTTTATCCACGTCTCCTTACCAATTTAAACGAAGCTCTTTGTTCCAAACAAAACAAGTGTTTGCCACTTATATGGCAATGTCCGCCGCCACTAAAGAAGAATGAAATATTTATAACATATTTACTACTTTTTATTTTTTGATCACATACAAGATGTCTGAAATGACTGGTGTCTGCATAATCACCCAGTGTAGGCTGTCAACATAACTGAAGACATTGGGTGTATATCGTGTTTACATAAGTTTGAAAAGTGGTCAAAGTATCATGGGTACCTTGAAGATAAGGTCAAGGTCACCCAAATCAACTGGTGTCTGCGTAATTCCCTAATGAAGGCTGTCACCAAATTTAAAGACATTGGGTACAACAGTGCATGAGATACCACGTTAACAAGAGTTTGAAAAGTGGTCAAAGTGTCATGGTGACCTTGAAAATAAGGTAAAGGTCACCCAAATCGACTGGTGTCTGTGTAATTCCCTAATGTATTCTGTCACCCAATTTGAAGACATTGGGAACAACAGTTCATGAGATATCGCGTTAACAATAATCAGGACGTACGTACGGATGCTGCTGAATACATAGTCCTCCATTCCACATTCTAGTAAATGCAGATTACAGACTAGAAAGGCTCAATACTCAGATAAGAACACAAGTTTTCTACTTAAATTTTAAACTGCACTTGAAAAATATTTTTGAAAATGAGAGGTCAGATTTAACATCGGGGGTGGAACTTGAAAGCGGCATCATAACCATGGTAACCAAATACGATGCAAAAAGACTGGTGGAAAAAATTCAGGCAATGGATGTAAACTGTTAAAAGAGAAGCAGGCAGACATCAAACTGACTTGCATGTCATGACTGGCATGTGGGAAAGTAAACAGGAGTTGTCTCCCTTTCTACACAAGCAGACGACTCCTTCAACAGGTACGGCCGCATCAAGTTGCAAAGGCCGCAGATCTCTTCACAATGTCCTAATCTACACTTGAATTTAAAAGCTCAAATTCAAGCTAGTCAAATATTTGTACATGAACTGAATTTCACTGCAATGAGCTTGCAACAGTTGGTAGTTTCCTACAGTGTGCAGGCTTCCAGCACACTTGAGTGTAGTGTTGACAGTTAGCATACAGACACCTCCTCCTGTCTCCCCAATGTGTCGACTGTATTGTGCCAGGAAACAACAACCTTGCACTGCATGACCTTCAACACATCCTCTTCTTCATCCGCATCACACAGCATCACTTACAGCATCCCTTAAAGTATCACTAGCAGCATCACTTACACTGTACAGCATCACTAACAGCATTGCTTACAGAATCTCTAACAGCATCACTTACAGCATCACTTACAGCATCAATAACAGCATCACTAACAGCATCACTTACAGCATCACTTAGTTAAAGCATCACTTACAGCATCACTAACAGCATCACTAACAGCATCACTTACAGCATCAATAACAGCATCAATAACAACATCACTTCTAGAATCACTAACAGCATCACTTACAGCATCACTAACAGCATCACTAACAGCATCACTTACAGCATCACTAACAGCATCACTAACAGCATCACTAACAGCATCACTAACAACAGCATCACTAACACCATCACTTAACAGCATCACTTACAGCATCACTAACAGCATCACTTACAGCATCACTAACAGCATCACTAACAGCATCACTTACAGCATCACTTACATCACTTACAGCATCATACAGCATCACTACTTTACAGCATCACTAACAGCATCACTTACAGCATCACTAACAGCATCACTAACAGCATCACTAACAGCATCACTAACAGCATCACTAACAGCATCACTAACAGCATCACTAACAGCATCACTAACAGCATCACTAACAGCATCACTTACAGCATCACTAACAGCATCACTAACAGCATCACTTACAGCATCACTTACAGCATCAGCATAAACAGCATCACTTACAGCATCACTTACAGCATCACTAACAGCATCACTAACAGCATCACTAACAGCATCACTAACAGCATCACTAACAGCATCACTAACAGCATCACTAACAGCATCACTAACAGCATCACTAACAGCATCACTAACAGCATCACTAACAGCATCACTAGCAGCATCACTAACAGCATACTTACAGCATCACTAAAGCGGCATCACTAACAGCATCACTAACAGCATCACTAACAGCATCACTAACAGCATCACTAACAGCATCACTAACAGCATCACTAACAGCATCACTTACAGCATCACTAACGGCATCACTAACAGCATCACTAACAGCATCACTTAACAGCATCACTAACGGCATCACTAACAGCATCACTAACAGCATCACTAACAGCATCACTAACAGCATCACTAACAGCATCACTAGCATCACTCACAGCATCACTAACAGCATCACTAACGGCATCACTAACGGCATCACTAATGGCATCACTAACAGCATCACTAACAGCATCACTAACAGCATCACTAACAGCATCACTAAGCATCAGCAGCATCACTTACACCATCACTAACAGCATCACTAACAGCATCACTAACAGCATCACTAACAGCATCACTTACAGCATCACTAACAGCATCACTAACAGCATCACTAACAGCATCACTAACAGCATCACTAACAGCATCACTAACAGCATCACTAACAGCATCACTAACAGCATCACTAACAGCATCAGTTACAGCATCACTGACCGCATCACTAACGGCATCACTAACAGCATCACTAACAGCATCACTAACAGCATCACTAACAGCATCACTAACAGCATCACTAACAGCATCACTAACAGCATCACTAACAGCATCACTAACAGCATCACTAACAGCATCAGTTACAGCATCACTGACCGCATCACTAACAGCATCACTAACAGCATCACTTACAACATCACTAACAGCATCAGTTACAGCATCAATAACAGTATGAAACTTGTCAAATGTACAAGTGGACAAGTGAAGATCTCAACAGGTACTGAGAAATTAGAGTGCTTATTTTGCAATGTTAGACCCTTTGGGAGACACTACAGGTATGATACTAGAATATTCAAAAGAACTGATCATAATTGTGAGCGACTAACTTCAAGGTTCTGTCCTTCAGCAGTAATCTTACATTTAAATAACCCTCAAACTCAATCCCAGTACTTTTTTGTTGTTGAGTCCAATCTTTCAGTGTCTCTCTTTCGATGCCCTACTCTCAGCTATCTGAAGACTCTTTAATCTTAAATCAATTTTCCTGTTACATTTTTCCTCATCCCTGAAATATCAACATCCACTCCACATTCACCCTCCCTGCCCCACAATACTAAAACCATGTTGTTATCACTTCCTCTCAAAGTCATTCCCAACCCCAAATTTTAACCCTTTTTTCCCAATCCACAACAATCCAACACATTCACTCCACCTTCCTCCACCCTGCCCCACAATCCTAACACCATGTTGTTATCACCTCCCCTCAAAGTGTCATTCCCAACCCCAAATTTTAACCCTTTTTTCCCAATCCACAACAATCCAACACATTCACTCCACCTTCCTCCACCCTGCCCCACAATTCTAAAATCATCTGTTCCTATCGCCTCCCCTCAAAGTGTCTTTTCCCCTAAACTCCTCCTCTTCCAGCGACCTCCCCTCAACCACTTCGCAGGTCCTTGTTTCCCATTGAATATACAGATGTAAGAACACACAACAGCTAGGCGGCATTTGTAATCCTTAAACTATCATTACCACATAAAAGACGAGTATTTCAGCCTGGGTGTTGCCGCCATCGGGTGACCAGCAAGCAGAACATGTTTTGTTTAACGCGGAGTGGCATTGTGGCGTTCGCCACCAGTAACTGTAGATACAGGCGAGTGTACCCAGCTATGCCCATCCGACCACGAATCTTCTGTTAGCCAGGCTTTGTCAATACACAGATATGACATGCTACAAAGGGTGTCAGGTGTGGACGTCACAATGCTGCCACAATGTCTACATTGTCAGCAACAACAGCAACAACAGCAACTTCTGAAGGCACTTCCTTTACATTATCTGCCTCATTCTACACCCAGTACCAGGCACCCATTGTTGTACTGACGCTACAACCCCGAA